AGGGAAAGGGAGGGGAGAGGAGGGAAGGGAGGGGAGGGAAGAGGAGGGGAGGGGAGAGGAGAGAGGAGAGGGGGAGGAGGAGGGGGAGGGAGGGGAGAGAAGGAAAAGGAGGGGAGGAAGGGGAGGGGGAGGAGGGAGGAAGGGGAGGGGGAAGGGGGAGGGAGGGGAGGGAAAGGGAGGGGAGAGGAGGGAAGGGAGGGGAGGAGAGGGAGGGGAGGGAAAGAGAAGGGAGGGGAGGGGAGGGAAGGAACTTAGAACAGGAGGGGAAACTGAGGCTGGAGCCATTAAAGCAGCTACCAGAATACAGAACTGCTGGTCACAGAACCTTCTCGTTCGTGTCACTTCCTGTCATCTTGGTCACTGAACTATTTTTCCTCGTTGACTGGCCCAGCACTTACTTAACCGTGACACAAAGCTGTTGACCTGTTTTATCAGTCATACAGGGAGGCCCTCCTGGCCCATGGCTGCTGCTGCAGAGGCAGGTACCAGGAACCACACCCATTTTAGAGAGGAAGAAACTGAAAGTCAGGAGCTCAAAAAGAAAACCTCACACTTGCTCCAACCCACACTGGGGTCGGGCCACCCCCACTGCCACCGGCCTCTTGGAAGGCCAACTCTCCCAGTTTCAGTCAGGGGCTGCCGGGACAGCCTCACCTTCTGTCCCTCCCAAATAACAAACAGTCCCCGCCACCAACCTGCTCCTCCACCTCCCTCTGCCAGCCAGGCCGGTTCTGGCAGTCACCAAGCACCAGTCAAGCATCCAGGGTGTCCCTCCCTGCCCCCTCTCGGGCTACTGCCCTCAGGAACTAACTCTGGGGAACCCTGCTCTCCAAAGCTCTGTGAGGAACCCAGGCACCACACGGGGCTCACTCCGTGGTCCAGACTAGCCTAGAATTCCTTGTGTTGCTCGGTCTAGCCTGGCCTTGAGTTTGCACTGAAACACCTGCCCACGGCCTCCAAATGCTACCACCAGGCCTGCCTGGCTTAAGCAACATTTGCACGTGGTCAGCGCTAATGGAACTCAAGGGACTGCTAACAGTAATAAAATAAGAAGACTTGAACTCGGGAAGGAGACAGGTTGGTGGGTCCTGGACCCAGTTGGAGTGGGGATGGATAAGATCAAGAGACACAAAGCATGGCGGTGACCCATGTGTGAGTTCCAGGACAGCCATAGTAACATAGTAAGAATTTATCTAAAAATAATAAATAAATAAAATACAAATACGCTGTATACATACATGAAATTCTGTTGGGTTTTTTTGTTTTCTTTTTCTTTTTTTTTTTTTTTTTTTTTGGTTTTTTGAGACAGGGTTTCTCTGTATTGTTTTGGAGGCTGTCTGGGAACTCACTCTGTAGACCAGGCTGGCCTCGAACTCACAGAGATCTGCCTGCCTCTGCCTCCCGAGTGCTGGGATTAAAGGCGTGCGCCACCAACGCCGGGCTTCTGTGGTGTTTTTTAATGAACTTTTTTTCTACCAACATAATATTGTTGTTGATTATTTGGGAATTTCACATAATGCACCCCAATCACACTCACTTCCCAGTCCTCCCAGGCCCAGCCCCTCACCCGTGTAACACCCCCCCAACACAAACAAAGAAACCCGCACAAGTCCAATTTGGGTTGCCCATATACTCAGTGGGTCATGGCCAAACCCCCAGTGGCCAGACCCTCAAAGGAAACAGATTTCACGGCCCCCACCAGAACCCATCAGCTGTGAAGGGCTGCACTTCCGCTGTCACAGTTTTTCTGTGGTTCCTTCCTGTCTTTGGGGAGTTAGGTGAGGGCAAGAGGGAGAGAAAGGTTGTCACAGAAGCCTTGCCTGTCTTTCCGTCTCAACTATGAGTCTGAAGTCATCAATACACTGCAAAAGAAGCTTCCTTGCTCTTTATAGTCGTGGACCACGGACTTCCACATGGTTTCTGGTGAAAGCACGGACCACAGACCTCCACGTGGTCTCCCGTGGCAGCACAGGCCACAGACATCAACGTGGCCTCTGGGGCAACATGGGCCACGGACACCAACTCGGCCTCCATCGGCAGCCCAACCCACGGACATCCACATGGTTTCGGGCGGCAGCTCAGACCACGGACATCCACGTGCCCTTTAGTGGTAACGTGGACCACAGACAGAAGTCGGTCCTTTTTTAGTGCTAGCAACAGAACTCACAGCCTTCCAGTGCCAGGCAGGCTCTCTACAGCCCAGCCATGGCCTCAACCCCTCGCTGGTGGGTTCTAAGCAGATGCTCAACCCCTGCGACTTGTCCCCAGCCCCTCGCTGTCAGATTCCAAGCAAGTGTTTTATCGCTTAACCACAACCCCAGCCCCGAGCTGGTGGCTTCCAAAGCATCGCTCTACCGCTGAGCTACAGCCCCAGACACAGGGACCAAAGTCCACGTGAGCCCCTCAGTCACAACTGTGCCCAGAATGACCACCTTCACCGTGGCAGCTGCCAACTCATCTCTCACAGCCACGGCCATGCCTCCGGAGACCTCATCCACCGGCCTCCTCAGGGACTGCCTTCCCCAGCTCAAAATCCTCGGCACATTCCTAAAAATCCAGGTCAACCCTCAGGCGACACCTTACCCACCCCAGAGAGACGACTGGCCCTGCCTGCCTCTCCTCACACCACTGCCTCACCTCTGCCCTGAGAGTTTCCTCTCCTCCCACTGTGAGAAGGGGTGTGTGCCTCATGTATGGCTGTCGTTACGGTTACTTCTCACCAGGTTGTTGTTGTTGTTGTTTTAGTGTGTGTGTGTGTGTGTGTGAGAGAGAGAGAGAGAGAGAGAGAGAGAGTATTGTGTGTGTGGCACACTGCACATGATGCTCAGAGCACCACTTTCAGGGAAATTGGCTCTGTCCTTCCGCCATGGATTCCGGGGAACTAATTCAGGTTGCCAGGCTTGTGGCAAGCGCCTTGACCCACTGAGCCGTCTCTCCAGTTCGGTTCATGAATTCGTGATGCGTACCACTACGTCTGTGTGGAGGTCAAAGGACAATTTTCAGGAATCAGTTATCCCTTCCACTTGAGAGAGTCCTGGGGTCCAGACCCATTCATACCATCAGGCTCGACCTTTAGTGGCCTCACGAAGCCCAGGCTAGCCTCGAATGTGGATGGGAAGCTACGGGTGGCGTTATATTTTTGATTCTCCTGCCTCCAGCTCCTGAGTTCTGTGATTACAGGTGTGCCCACCATGCCCGATAAATACGGTGCTGGGAATTGAACCTGGGTCATCAGGAATGCTAGGCAAGCAATCTACCAACTGCTACACAGTAGTTCCTGTGTCGTTGTTGTTGTTGTTATGTGTTTTGAGTCTGGGGCTCTCTGTGTAGCTCAGACTGGCCTTTAATGTATAGCAATCTTCCCGTCTCAACCTCCCTGGTGCTGGGATAACAGGCACGGGCCGCCAAGCACAGCCTCAGTTTGAAGTTCTACTCCCACCTGAGGCCTGTCAGATGTCGTGGCGTGTGAAGGAGTCTCCACCAAGCCTGATGACCAGAGTTCAATCCCAGGAACCCACATGACGGAAGGACAGAACTCACTCCCACGAGCCGACGTCAGATTTCCATGTGTATGCATGCCATAGTATTCCCGCAAGGACACACACACACACACACACACACACACACACACACGCTAAAATCCTATCTGTCTGTGTATCTGTATGTGGGTTTGTGCACGAGAAGGCAGTGCCCACAGCAAGCCTGACTTCAAGTTCCTGTCATGACTTTCCTCAAAGAAGGACGGACTAAGGCAACCTGTAAGTTAAAAGCAATCCTTCCTCCCCTAAGCTGCTTCAGGGAGTTGTCATAGCAACAGAAGGAAACCAGAACAGTAAGCCATTCGGTTAACCAGAGAAGACTTCTGATCCTCTCATACTCATAACCCCTCACGGATACATTAAGCACTTTCTCTGGGCACAGGACACAATGCCTCTGTCACCTCCATTCACGTACACACCATAAACTAAGACTGTGGTATTTAGACCGAGTGCATTTCCTCAATAAGAGTTTCCTGTTGAGGGAAAGGGTAAGCCAAACATTAGAAGTCAGGGCCTTTATGCATATGTGATACTGAGAGTAGAATCCAGGAGCCGGACAGATGGCTCAGAGGTTAAGAGCGTACAAAAGTTCTTCCCAAGACCAGAGTTGAATTCCTACATCCACTTTGGGTACCTCACAATCACCTGCAACTCCAGATCCTGGGAAATCGGACACCTGTGACTTCCTTAGTTGCCTGCACACACTCACACAGAGACCCAAATACAAACACATTATTAAAAGTAATAAAAACAAATCATTAAAAAGAGAGAAAATATATCCCAGGTCCCCCAGCAGACTCTACTACTTAGCCGGTCCCCAGCCCCTCACTGGGGGAATGCTAAGCAGGGGCTCTAACACTAAACCACACCCCAGCCCCTCCCTCACTGGGGAATTCTAGGCAGGGGCTCCACCACTGAGCCACACCCCCAGCCCCTCACTGGGGGATTCTAGGCAGAGGCTCTACCACTGAGCCACACCCTTACTGCCTCACTGGGGAATTCTAGGCAGGGGCTCCACCACTGAGCCACACCCCCAGCCCCTCACTGGGGGATTCTAGGCAGAGGCTCTAACACTGAGCCAACCCCAACCCCTCACTGGGGGGTTCTATGCAGGTACTCTGCTCTGTCATGCTCTTAGTAACCCATTTACTTTTTATCTTTTTATTTTGTTAATAAAATTAATTTTTCTATGTGTTTTTCACATCATGTATCTGATCCCATTCACTTCCCTTCCCATCTGTCCTCTATCCCTTTACCTTTTATCTTAAGACAAGTTTAAGTTGTCCAGGCCCTTGGCAGACCGTGAATTTTCAATCCTCCTGCCTCAGCCTCAGAATTACAGGCCTGTGGGCAGCTGGCTGCCGTGGACTGAATGACCAAGTCCTCTTGTGTCCGAGCAGTCATATGCCTCTGATAACCATGGCCCCACCCTTCCCGATAGCCAGCCCTAGCTCCCCTTACCTATGAACATGGCTTTTCTCCCATGGCAGGGTCTCTTGGGAGGGGTCTGAGTGAGAGCAGAGAAGTCAGGGACCATGAAAGTGTCAAGGGTCAGCACATGGAGACCCTAGAATCCCAACTCGAAAGAGGGAAATTCCACCTCCGGAACCACAGTGAGCCAGGGTGGTGACGGAAACAGGACTCAGGGATTGTCAGCTTCACCGGATGCCCTCCACGGCCCCGATGGCCAGGCACTGGGGGGGGGCGGGGGGCTTCTTCAGGGAGAGATTCCTCAGGTGAGTTTCCAGACATTTGCAGCCTCCACCCTGGGTTGTCTGGGTCAGGCAGGCTAGGGGTGGGAGCCTCGCTTGAGTTTGGGAGCCAAAGCTACATTTTAGAGAGAGGGAGGGGTTTCCTCTGCCGCACAGAAAGGAGGAAAAAAACTCTCTGCTCTGGAATGAGGGTGGAGAGTCGGGTTTCAATGTTGCCTGGACGGCACACAAGCAGGAGAAGTGGTGGGCAGGACGGGAGGGTGGGGTGGACAGTGGGTAGACACTCCTCCTCCACTCCTCACAGAGAAGCAAGGCTCAGCCCTCCTCCCTCAGACCCAGGAGTCAGCCCCAACCTCCTCCCCCAGACCCAGGAGTCAGCCCCAGCCCTCCTCCCTCAGACTCCATCCCTCCTCCCTCAGACACAGAAGTCAACCCTCGCCTCCTCCCTCAGACCCAGGAGTCCAAGCCCCAACCTCCTCCCTCAGACCCAGGAGTCAGCCCCAACCCTCCTCCCCCCAGGCCCCAGTCCTCCTCCCCAGACCCAGGAGTCCAGACCCCAGCCTCCTCCCTCAGACACAGGAGTCCAGGCCCCAACCTCCTCCCTCAGACCAAGGAGTCAGCCAGCCCTGCTCCCTCAGACCCAAGAGTCATCCCCAGCCCTCCTCCCTCAGACACAGGAGTCAGCCCCAGCAAAGCCCCTGTGGTAGGTTGGGATTTAGAGTTCAAGGAACAGTGAGAGAAACTATGTGCCCAAGCCGTGATGACAGCAGAGGAGAGAGAAGTAAGGTCAGATCTGAAAGGCACCAGTTTTTACGGGAGAAGAATCCAGAAACCCAAATGTGGATTTTGACCAGGCGAATAACAGTCCCATCTTGGGTCCTTCAGAGTCCCTGAATTTGGGTGACACTGGGGGGACAGAACACAGCAGGGAGAGCCTTGTCAGGCTCCTACAGGATTTGGGTAAGAAATGACGGTGGGTGGGTGAGACATCTGGGAATCACAGAATGTAGAAGGGGAGAGGCAAGGAGCTGGCCCCTCATCTGTCTCCATCCCCTAACTGGCAGCCAACATAGACAAGTTTCTCCTTGGCACTTGCCAAGACAGGACGGATCATGGAGTATTTTCTCTGAATTTGCCAAATGCAAATGGACTAGACATTGCTGAGGGACTTACTGCCTGTAGATGTTGTATATGGTTATTGTACTCATTCCATAGTTTTTCTCATATTAGCTACGGCCTTCTTTACAATAGACAAAAAAGGGGAAATGTGGTGATATTTTGTTTATGACCTAACAAATAAAGCTTGCCTGACACCCTGATATCAAGCCCCAGAAGCTACCCACACAGAGGAGAGAGCTGACTATACAAGTGTTCTCTGACCTTCACATGTACACCTACACACACACACACACACACACACACACACACACACACTGTGCACAAGCTGATAAGGAGAAACACATTTTTATTACGTAACAGTCGTCTCTAGTTCCACAAACGGCATGATGCCGTTTCTTCTTTGTGGCTGGACAGTAGTACTCCATCGTGTGTGTACCACATTTTCCTTATCCATTCAACCATTCTAGGCGCCCAAGCTGACTCCACAACTTGGCTATTATAAATGGTGTTGGCATGGTATGTACTCACTAATATATGGATTTTAGACATGGATCAGGATAGTGCCAGTCTGCACTTCCACTGACAGAGAGTCTGGGAAACAGGAAAGAACCTAAAAGATATGCATATATGCATAGTACCCAAGAGAAGAGGATTGAGACAAGATCCTGTGAATGGATGGGGAACACGGCGAGGGGTGGGGGGGGGGAGTGGGAGCTGGGAAGAAGAGAGGGGGATGAAGAGGAAGAGAGTTGGTCATGGGGAACAGGAAGTTGAGTGGGTGGGGGTAGAATAAGGGGAAGAGGGAATCATAGGTTAGAAGACAGATCAGGCGCCAGAGTGACCTCGAGTGATCTAAAGGGATAACACCAATTGGCAAGCTAAGCAATAGTGGAGAGACCACCTCGAATGCCCATTCCTGATAATGAACTTGATGTCTATAACCATCCGGGAGCCTTCATCCTGTGACTGATGGAAGCAAAGGCAAACACACAATTAATCACTGAACTGAACCCAAGGAACCCAGTGACAGAGAGAGAGGAGTGATGAGCAAATTGGCAAAGATTGGGCTGGCAAAACCAGCAGAGACAGCTGATCTGAACAGGGGAGAGCTCTTGGATCCCAGACTGACAGTGGGGAGGCCAGCATGGGACTGATCTGGACCCCCCAAATGTGAGTGTCAGTGAGAAGGCCTGGGCAACCTATGGGGCCCTGAGCTGTGGATCAGTGTCTATCCCTGGAATACAAACAGTCATCGTGTGCCTATAGCACAAAGAGGGATGCGCTCTCAGCCTGGACTCTTAGGGGAGTGCCTGGACCCTACCCAGAGTGAAATGACAGACTCTAGATATCCCCTATGTGGAAGGATTTGGCAATAGGGTGGGAGGGTGGGGGGGAAGGGGAGTGCGGGAGGAGGGGAGGGAGAGGGAACTGGGATTGACATGTAAAACAAGCTATTTAAAATTAAAATAAAAAATGATAATAAAAAATGGTGTTGGCCTAATATCTGAATATACTTGGCCTCAGGTTCCTCGTCTCAGTAAAGACACACCACTCATCATGGGTTTGGGGAAGAAATGATGCCTACAGCTTCGTCACTGAGGACCCCGACATGGGGGAAGAATTTCCACAAAATACCTCAGGAAGCTGTGTGTGTTCATCGGGGATGTGCCAGGTACGCTGGGCTTTCTGTTCGGGCTTGGGTTTTGTTGTTCTTATCATTGTCGTTTGAGCCCACTGTAGCCCAGGCTGGCCTCAGACTCACTGTGTAGCCGAGGATGCCCTTCAACTCATAGTCCTCCGGCCCCCAACTTCTAAGTACTGGGTCACACGTGTGTGTATCTATCACCCGTCATGTGTTCCAGGCAAGCACTGTACTGACTGAACATCCCGGGACAAGGTCTCACACTATAGCCCAGGCTGGCCTTGAACTTACTACATAGCCCAGGCTGGCCTCAAACTCAACCCAGTCCTCCTGCCTCAGCCTCCAAGCCCGTGTTACAGGAGTGAGCCGCCACATCCGGCTTTGTGAGCAGTTCTCCACCTGTGAGCGGTGACCCCTTTCGGGATTGCAAATCAAATATTTACACCGTGATTCATAGCAGAAACAAAATTGCAGTTATGAAGTAACAACGAAACAGTTTTACAGTGGGGGGGGAGGTGTCCTCAGCAAGAGGAACTGTATTAAAGGGCCACATGAGGTAAGTCTTCACCCTAGCTCCACGGGGGATGACTGAGGGAAAACTTCCCAAGAAGACTGAGGAGGGGAGGTGGAGTCTGGAGCCAGGGAAAAGGCGATTGTAGCTAGGTGTCCCGGGAGCCACGACACATGCTGGCCCGGGAGACACAGTCAGCGTTTGGTGTCCTGTTACACACACACAGTCCGTGACAGAGCTGCATGAACAAGTGACCCAACCACTCCACACCTTAGCTTCCTTAGTCGTCAATAGGAAATCCAACCCCTACCCCACCCCACCCCCAGCGCCGCCGCCCAAGGACTCACAGACATACTTAAGGGGGGAGCTTTTCACTCAGGTGTGTGAACAAGTGTGACAGCAAATTGTTGTTGTTATGATTCTGTTGTTACAACGGACACACATAATTTCCGGGATCCCCGACGGCCAACCCAGCCCCCGCACTTGAGACCGTGTGCCAGCCAGCCCCGCCCCTGAGCCACCTCAGGCGAGCATTGCCAGGTGAGAGCTCAGGTATGCCGGTGCCACCAGGCCTGGGAGGAGGCAGAGGCGGAGTCTAGAATACAAGGGAGGGAGAGCTGAAGGCTGCGAGCCAGACAGAAGCAGCAGCCAGGTGAGGAGGCCAGACCCCAGAGTGAAGGAGGGCTGGACCCCTGGGTCTGAGGGAGGAGAGCTGGAGCCTGGACCCCTGGGTCTGAGGGAGCCGAGCTTGGTCCCTGGGTCTCAGGGAGGGGAGCTGAGGTCTAGGCTCTTACATATGAGGGATAAGGTGCCTGCTGCACCCCCAGATCTCAGCAAGGAAGGTTGGTGGCTAGATTCTTGCATCTGAAAGATGAGGTCTCCCTGGACCCCTGGGTCTGAACAAGGAGGTCTGGGGTCTAGACCCTTGTATCTGAGGGACAATGTTCTCTCTGACCCCCTGGGTGTGAGGGGAAACAGCTGGGACTTGGAAATCTGGGTGTAAGAAAGAAACGGAGCGCTGAGGTATGGACTAAAGGGTCTGAAGGAAGAGGGTGGAGCCTCCTAAGGAAAGAGGGCCAGCGTCTGGCCCCTGGGTGAGGGAAAATGATCAAGTCTTAACTCCTGGGTCTAAAGGAGCCAGGCTAGGGCCTGGACAGCTTGGTCTGAGGGAGGAGGGTTGAGCCAGGGTCAACTGAGCCAAGTCAGTCACTCATGCCTTCGCCATCTCTCAAGGCACCTCCAGGTGGACAGAGCTGTCACCATGAACACCACCTCGGGGTAAGCAGCCCCTGCCCCGCCAGCCCTCGCCCCCTCCACCCTTCCCCCACACCTGCCGATCCTGTTTCTACAACCCCGGCTCTAGACATTCAGGAAGAATGTTCCCCCTCCCTGCCCAGCCTGTGGTCAGACACAGGCAGAAGGGCTTCGGTTGGAAATAGGCATACTGTGCCACGGGGTGGCTCTGCGGAGGCATGCCACCTCCTGGAACCCAGCCCCTCCCCCTCCATAAGAGGGAATGGGGACGTATTTTGAGAGTTGGCAGGACTCAGCCGGCTGTTGGGCCGTCCCCACAGCAGGCACGCGTGTCTTTAGGAACTGTCACTGTTCCCCTCAGACAGTGGAGACTCAAATCTCCTGGAGAGAGTGGGCAGGAAGAGAAAGAGGGATAGAAACTAAGCCAGTGAGTTCTCCGGCTCAGCGGCCACCAAAGGCCACAAGCAGGATCAGGGTAAAAGGCAGGAGTCTCACTAGACCTGGCTGCCTAGCTCTGACCCGCTGCTATTCTGATAGAAACGGGAATTTAAGAAATGACAGGGAGTGGGGATGTGGCTGAGCAAGGACAGTGCTTGCCTAGCATGTGTGAAACACGGGAGTCTAATCCACACCCCGGGCACAACATTAATCCCAGCACTCAACGGGCAGAGGCAGAGGCAGAGGCAGGCAGAGCTCTGCAAGTTCAAGGCCAGCCTGATCTACATAGCAAGTTCCGGGCCAGCGAAGGGATCCGTAGTGAGACTGTTTCAAAACATCTAAATAAATTAACCAGTCTAGAGGATTATGTCTGTATTTCCAGTACTGAGGATGTAAAGGCAGGAATATCAGGAGTTCGAGGTCATCCTCAGCTTTGGGGCCAGCCTGGGCTACATATGACTGTGTCTCAACAAAAGAGAATTACGGCAAGTGGTAATTTTAGGAGAAGACTGAGGACACACAGAAACAGGGAATGACTTCCGTGGGAAGACCTGAACCATGGCGGGGGGGGGCGGGGATAATCCCAAGCCTACTCTGGCTACTCAAAGTCATTGTATCAGTTCCCATCTATTTTTGGTTGTGAGCCTAGCCTTTCACAGCTGAGCCATCTCTCCAGCCCTCAATTTCCATTTACTGAGTAACCACTGTGTGCTAAACCCTGACCACGATAAGATTATTAATTATTACTGAGACCCAAAAATACTTCACCTACTGGGTTGAATTTATACAACAACCACACCAGGTAGACGCTGTAATATGTTACAGGAAGGGAAACTGAGGTCGGAAAGATTAAGTCCCCTTACCAGGGTCTTGTCAGGGTTTTTTTAATGCTTATTTTTATTTAGGTGTGTGTGTGTGTGTGTCCGTCTGTCTGTGTGTTTGTGCACATGAGTGTAGTGCCTGCAGAGGTCGGAAGAGAGCGTTGCCATCTCCTGGAGTTGGAGCTGAAGGCAGTTGTGTGTTGGGAACTGAACTTGGGTCCTCTGGAAGAGCTTGTTCTTAACTGCTCAACCATCTCTCTAGACCTGAGGTCCTATTTGTTTGTGTTAATTGGGTTTTTTGTTTTGTTTTGCTTTCTGTTGTTTATTCGGTTTACAGGGTCTTGCTCTTGGTTTTTTGGTTTTGTTTTGTTTTTTTAATTTCAAGGCAGGGTCTCACTATGTAGCCCAGGCTGGCCTCAAATGTATAGAAATCTCTGGCATGACAGACTCTGCTCTTCATCTCTGTGTTAGTCAATGTTCTCCAGAGGGGCAGGACTGGTGGAGTGGATAGGGACACACCACACACACTCACACACACACACACACCACACACACACCTTACCGGACTGGCTTACATTCTGTGGTCTGGATCTCATGACAGTAGGGCCAAGAATCCAGTCGGGGTTCAGTTTCCAAGGCTGGATGTGTGAGCAGTCCCAGTCTGGTGCTGGAGTCCCCAGGAATTCCTAGAGAGCTGTTGGTCTTTGCTCTACAATATAATCCCAAAGAAGCGTGTTCTAACACCAGTGAAGGAATACCTCAGTGACAGGACAGACAAGCCTGTCAGAGAGAGTGAGGGAAAGCAGGCAAAAAGCAGAAGTTTCCTACTTCCGCGTCCTTCTGTGTGGGATTCAGGGTTAGGATGGGTCTCCCCACCTCAGATGATCCACCTGAGAAAATCCCTCATAGGCATGCCCAAATTTGTGTTGACTCCAGATGTGGTCAAGTTGACAGCCAGAATTAGGCATCCGTCTTTTTTTAGTTGTATATGTCTCTCTGTCCTTCCCTCTGCCTATCTGTCTGTGTGAGTGTGTGTGTGTGTATGTATCTTTCTGTGTCTGTCTGTCTGTCTCTTTCTATCTCTATGTATGTCTCTGTGTGTCTGTCTGTCCTGTCTCTTTATGAGTCTCTGTGTTTCTGTCTCTGTGTATCTTTGTCTCCTTGTGTGCGTGTGTGCCTGTGTGTCTCTCTGTGTCTTTCTCTGTGTCTGTCTGTCTGTGTGTGTATCTGTGTCTCTCTGTCTCTGTGTGTGTCTGTGTGAGTCTTGTGTGTCTCTCTGTCTCTGTGCGTGTGTCTGTGTGTCTCTCTTTGTGTATGTCGGTGTCTTTCTCTGTGTCTCTCTGTCTCTGTGGGTATGTCTCTGTGTCTTTCTCTGTGTGTGTCTGTCTCTGTGTGTGTGTGTGTGTGTGTGTGTGTGTGTGTGTGTGTGTGTGTGTGTGTGTGTGTGTGTGTAGGGGTTTCGGTATGTAGCCCTGGTTGCCTAGGGTCTTCTAGAAAGGCCACAAATTCTCTCAACCTCTGAGCCAACTCTCCATCCCTACCTGTCCCGTGAATTTGAACCCAGAGCTGGGTATTGTAGTGTATGCCTGGATTCCCAGCACATTGGCAGTACAGGCAGCAAGAACGGAAGTTCAAGACCATCCTCAGCTACATAGTGATTTCAAGACCCTATCTCAAAATCACAAAAGCATTCTTTTTTAAAAAAGATTTATTTATTGTGCATACAGTTTTCTATGTGTGCACATGCTTATACACCAGGAGAAGGCATCAGATCTCATTGTAGATGGTTGTGAGCCACCATGTGGTTGCTGGGAATTGAACTCAGGACCTCTGGAAGAATAGTCAGTGCTCTTAACCTCTGAGCCATCTCTCCAGCCCCCACAAAAGCATTCTTAATGAAAAAAAAAGGGAAGCTGAGCATAATTCCAGCACTGGGGAGGCAGAGGCAGGACGATCTCTATGAGTTCGAGGTCTCGTCTTCACAGTGAATTCTATCAGGGGTACATAGAGAGACCCCATCTCAGGGAGAGACGGACAGACAGGCAGACAGAGCCTCCGCCCCCACACATTAGCACATCACACCGTCTCTTCAAATACCGCTGTCCTACTCACACCCGCTCATACTTCCCATGGCTCCCCACTACCCTTCTTGATGCGTTCCTGAAGGCTCTGTCACCAGCGGTCCTCAACCTATGGGTCACGGCCCCTTTGGGGGGTCAAATGACTCTTTCATGGGGGTGGAATACCAGATAGCTTGCGTATCAGATACTCACATTCCCATTCACAACAGCAGCAAAATCACGGTTGTGAAGTAGCAGGTTTGTAACTGGAGGTCACCACAACGTGAGGAACCGTGTTAAGGGGTCACAGCATCAGGAAGGTGAGGAGCGCTGCTTTAAGCCCTTATTATTATTATTATTATTTTCTTTTCCAGGCCTGAAGCTGCACCCAAACCAAGTGCAAAGTCTATCTATGGTGAGCTGGAGGGTGAAGGAGACCAAGAAGAAAGGTCTTGGGAGAAGAGAGAATGCGGTTTATAGTCTTGAGTCTGAGGGAGGAGGGTAGCGGCTGGATTCCTGGGTCTGAGGGAGGAGACTCCTGGACCTGAGGGAGGAGGCTGGGGTCTGGATCTAAGGAACAAGGCTGAAGTCTGACTCCTGGATGCACTTTCCCCCTCCTTGCCCTCAGAACAAAGGAAACGTTACTCCACCGTGGTTATGGCTGACGTATCCCAGTATCATGTCAACGTGAGTCTGAGTTTGCCTTAGACACCTCTTGGGGAGACGTGGGCCCAGCGTGACAGGGCTTTAGAAAACACATGGTCCCTCGAGCACAAAGGACTCTAGGGCCCAGAGGTGGTGGTGGCGGCGGCGGTGGCGGCACATGCCTTTAATCCCAGCACTAGGGAGGCAGAGGCAGGCAGATCTCAGGGTTCAAGGCCAGCCTGGTCTACAGAGTGAGTTCTAGGACAGCCAGGGCTACACAGAAAGCTTGTCTCCCAAAAACTAAAAACCAAGAGAGAGAGAGAGAGACTCTAGGAAAACTCAGCCCTCGAGGGACCTTCGTCTTAGTGAGAAGACGCCGGATTAGAAGGAAATCTAGCCGGGCCGTGGTGGCGCATGCCTTGAATCCCAGCACCCGGGAGGCAGAGGCAGGCGGATCTCTGTGAGTTCCAGGCTGGGCTGGACCGACAGCCTCCAAAACAATACAGAGAACCCCTGTCTCGTAAAAACCAAAAAAAAAGAAGGAAATCTACCCAGCGCTGGCCACTGAAGGAGCCCTGGTGCCTTGGAAGCTGGGTTTCTATTTTGTTTTGTTTGACGTCTCTTGGGTTTGAATAAAGAAGGCTGGAGTCCTCGTTCTAACGGGGGAGGACTGAGGTCTGGACTCAGGGGTCGGAGACAAGCATCCTGGGAGAGATGCAGTTAGACGGAGCTGGAAGTCCACCTCCTGAGGCCCTTAGCCCACCCAGCACCAGCCCGCCATTGCCGGAGACTCACCGCTTCCTCTGTCCCCTGCCAGCACCTGGTCACCTTCTGCTTGGGGGAGGAGGATGGCGTGCACACGGTGGAAGATGCTTCCAGAAAGTTGGCCGTCATGGACAGCCAGGGACGCGTCTGGGCACAGGAGATGCTACTGAGAGTGTCCCCTGGCCATGTCACTCTGCTTGACCCGGTCTCCAAGGTGCGCCAGGGGGGGGGGGGGGGTAGAAAGAACGACGGGGGCGGGGATCTGAGTGTGACTCGTGGCTCCTAAGAGTCCTTCCTCCTGGGGATTTTGGCAAGCTGTCTTTTGGAACCTTGGCTATTAAACAGGGTGTTCTTTCTAGGCCCCAAAACTCTTCCAGTTGCCTTGTCCCGGCTCCTGGGCACTGACGTAGTGGTATCAGGAGTTTATGTCTCCGGTCACCTCTCGGTCCCATCCCGCAGGAGGAGCTAGAGTCATATCCTCTTGACGCCATCGTACGCTGCGACGCGGTGATGCCCCGCGGCCGGAGCCGCTCGCTGCTGCTCCTGGTGTGCCAAGAGCCAGAGCGTGCGCAACCAGACGTCCATTTCTTCCAGGGCCTGCTCCTCGGGGTGAGTGGGCGTGGCTCCATGCGGCAGAGGCGGGGCTTCTATGTTTGGGGGCGGGGCCTGTGGCTGGCACGGCTTAGGAAAACCAGCCTAGGAGGGAGTCGGGTTTGAGGACAGGTTGAACTCTGGATTAAGCCTGAACGTAAGGATGGGAAGAAGACGCAGGCGAGAGGCTGAGATACTGAGACCTTGAGAAAAGCCTGGGAAGGATGGTCTGGGAGGCGGGTAAAACCAAGATGAGGGTCCGCGGCGTTCGTCCAAGACAGCAGGAAGTGGGGCGCTAAGAACGGGGAGACAGGTCAGCGGGTGGGGCGCCAGAGGAGAGGTCTAACAGTATGATTGACAGGCGGAGCTGATCCGCGAGGACATCCAAGGGGCTCTGCAGAACTACCGCTCTGGACGCGGGGAACGCAGGGCGGCAGCGCTCAGGTGAGAGGGAGATGCAGAACTCTCTGGAAAACATTCTCCCGTCTATGGGCCTCATTCTCCTCAACTAAGAAATGGGCTTGGGGGCTGGAGAGATGGCTCAGAGGTTAAGAGCCCTGGCTGCTCTTGCAGAGGTCCTGAGTTCAATTCCCAGCAACCACATGCTGGCTCACAACCATCTCATAATGAGATCTGGTGCCCTCTTCTGGCCTGCAGGGATACATGAAGTGCTGTATACATAATAAATAAAATCTTAAAAAAAAAAAAAGAAAGTCTCTGTGAGTTCGAGGCCGGGCTGGACCGACAGCCTCCAAAACAATACAGAGAAACCCTGTCTCGTAAAACCAAAAGAAAAAAAAAAAGAAAAAGAAATGGTCTTGATATGAACAACCTAGAGCATTGGATGCGGTCACAAGTTAGCCTTGGTCAGGTACCTCCCAGACAAGGTGACCCCACTCTCCAGACTTGAACCTGTCTTTTGGTTCCTCCATCTCCATACCCAGTTCCTCACTATGAAACTCCCAGCCTGCGTTTGACCCCCTCTCTATCTCTCCCCGGTCCCTTTGGTTGGCCCAGCCTCAGTTTCCCCCTTCTCACTACGCAGGGCAACGCAGGAGGAGCTGCAGCGTGGCGCCTCTCCAGCTGCGGAGACCCCGCCCTTACAGCGTCGCCCCTCGGTCCGTGCGGTCATCAGCACCGTGGAACCGTCCGCGGGACGCGGGCGACCCCAGGTGGAACCAATCTCAGAGACGGAAGAAGCGGGGAGATCCGGCCCAGCTCGCACCAGCGCGAGCAACGCTAACCCGACCTCCCCGGACCTGGGCCCGCGGGGTCCCGAGCTGGCGGGTCTGCAGGCCGAGCGGGATGTGGTGAGCATGCGTGACGGGCACCAGTTTGGGGCGGAAAAGGATTGCCACGACAACCAAGTCAGACTGGGGATGGGGGAGGGAGAGATTCAGGAGCGTGGCACCTCTTGGTGTGACTGTCAAGGTGCAAGCTCGCGGGTGGGGCTTAGTTCTAGAAGTGTGGCTAGAGTCTTTGGGTCCAGACCACCACTCGCGGCTCCAGTTACGGGCGTGGCCTGACGTCGGAGGTGGATCTGGAGACCTGGACCTAGTGTGAGACTCAGGGGCATCTTTGCGTGCGGCAGGATATCCTGAACCACGTGTTCGACGACGTGGAGAGCTTCGTATCCAGGTTGCAGAAGTCAGCAGAGGCTGCCCGGGTTTTGGAGCACCGCGAGCGCGGCCGCAGGACGCGCCGCCGAGCAGCCGGAGGTAAGGGCGTCCCTGTCTAACCGAGACTATGCCTTCCTGGATGATGCCCACATCACCTCTCTCCCTGGAGCCTCCCACCACCAGCCAGCTCGGCCTTCGTCGGGCCATCAGTTTGGGTGTTGACTCCTTGGGAACTATTATCTACCTAACTCTGTTCGGTTGTCCCCGTCACCTCACCTGCTTCCCCGCTCACAGAGGGCCTGCTGACGCTGCGAGCCAAGCCACCAACCGAGGCTGAATACACAGATGTGCTCCAGAAAATCAAATATGCCTTCAGTCTGCTGGTGAGGGCGCATCCATTGCTGGGCGTCGAAGGGGGGGGGGGGCGGTGAAGGCACTGTGACTCTGACCCGTCCAGCGCACGTGCACTAACATTAAATGACCGCCTTCCACCCAGGCCCGATTGCGCGGCAACATCGCCAACCCCTCCTCTCCAGAGCTGCTGCACTTTCTGTTTGGACCTCTACAAATGGTGAGACTCGCTCCCAGCCCTCAGTCGTCCCCCCCTCCGCCCTCTGTCCCCCGTTTTGGAAGGCTTGGGATTAGACTTCAAGAAGATCTTTGTGGCTGGGCATGCTCACCCATGTTGGCCTGGTAGATTGTGAATACTTCGGGGGGTCCTGAGTTCGCGAGCAGTGTGCGACGCCCGCATCTGACCTTGGAGGCTGTGGCGCTGCTCCGCGACAACGTCACTCCTCGTGAAAACGCGCTGTGGACCTCGTTGGGGGACTCCTGGACGCGCCCAGGGTGAGAGGGGAAATCAGAGGTGGGGTGCTGCTAAATTAATTGAGGAGGGAGGGAAGGGAACTCAGGGTAAATGCCGGGATCCAACGGGAGAAAAGACTTGAAGGAAAGATTTCGGATCTAACCAGACAGCCCGGATGAAGCAAAAGGCGGGGTCTTAGAGAATTTAGAGGCAGACTACAGTTTGTGCAGAAGGTGAGGCCTATAGGTTGGAGATGGGAGGGAATCTGCTTGGAGATTTAAGGGCAGAAACAGAGCTGAGAGACTGGGAGGGGATCAAAGGGCAAGGTGGTTGATATAAGTGTTTAGAAAGTAGCTAGAAGCTGGAGAGATGGCTCAGCCGTTACGAGCACTGACGGCTCTTCCAAAGGACCTGGGTTCGATTCCCAGCACCCACATAACAACTGTCTGTAACTCCAAGATCTGACACCCTCACACAGACATACGTGCAGGCAAAACACCAATGCACATAAAAAAATAAATAAATAAGAATAATTTAAAAATGGGGAGGTGGTGACCGGAGGTTCAGAAGTTTAAGAGTGTCCTCCGAAAGAAATCGAGCTTGAGACCCCGTCACAAAAATTGGCTGTGCAGGAAGCATGAGTTTCTGCGAGTTTTATCGCAGAACTTATGTAAATGTGGCCAGAGAGAATTGCCTCCACAAAATTGCCCTCCGATTTTCACGTGTTCACCCACACCCACACACTCACAACAGTAAGTAAATAAATGCTTTATGTAACCAAGCACTTAGGAAATAAGGATCAGGAGAATGTCTACAGGTCAAGGCCAGAGTAGTCTAAATAACTAACTCCAGGCTGGCCAGTCTGTCAAGACTGTCCCAACCCTCCCCCCCCTCCCCCAGGCCAGCCAGGGCTGTCTGTCAAGACTGTCCCAACCTTCCGCCCCTCCCTCCCCAATAGGAAATGATTTGGCCTCAGCGGCTGGAAAAGGCATGAGTTTAGAAACATAGTTGACATGTGGATAAGAAATCAAAGAGCTCTTCCAGAGAATCTAGGTTTGTTCCCAGCACCCACATGGTGGTTCACAACTGTCTGTCACTCCAGTTCCTGAGGATCTGATGCCCTCTTCTGCCTCCCAGGAGCACCAGGCACACAAGTGACGCACACTTTTTTCTTTTGTTTTTTGTTTTGTTTTTTTTGTTTGTTTTTGTTTTTATGAGACAGGGCTTCTCTGTATTGTTTTGGAGGCTGTCAGTCCAGCCCGGCCTCGAATTCACAGAGATCCGCCCGCCTCTGCCTCCCGAGTGCTGGGACTAAAGGCGTGCGCCACCACCGCCCGGCGTGAGGCACACTTTATACACATGCAAGCCAACCATCACACACATAAATTTTTTTCCAATTTCTTTTAAATAAAGAAATATAATGTCCTAAGTGGGGCTTAGAGGGTGGAAGCAGATGGAGAAAGACGGAATTAAGAATTTTAAGGAAAAAGAAAAAGAAAAGAATTTTAAGAAGGCAGTCCGCGGTGATGCTTTCCTTTAATCCCAGCACTAGGGAGGCAGAGGCAGGAGGATCTCTGTGAGTTCGAGGCCAGCCTGGTTTACAAGAACAAGTTCCAGGACAGCCTCCAAAGCCACAGAGAAACCTTGTCTCGAACCTACACACACACACACACAAAGAAAGAAAAAAGCATGTCAAGAATAGAGCCAGGTTTATAGGAAGAGAGAAATTTGCGAACTAACGCTCCGGTCTTAGCCTGGCCTAACGCTTGGCTGTGTCTCGGACCCCAGGGTGGAGCTGACCACGGAAGAAGCGTCTCCATACAGTCCCGAATTCTACAGCGGCTGGGAGCCTCCGGCCACTGACCCGCAGGGCCGCGCCTGGGAGGACCCAGTGGAAAAACAGCTACAACACGAGAAGCGGCGCCGGCAGGTGAGGCAGGGCCGCCGGGCAAGCAGGACGGGTGAGCTGGACGTCTGAGGTCCAGCCTGCCTGACCCCAAGCTCTCTTAACTTCCCGCAGCAAAGCGCCCCCCAGATCGCTGTCAATGGGTGAGTGAGCGCTGCAGGGTGCCTAGGGGTGGGGTTGGGAGGACTGAGCCCCCGGGTCACCCCCCGGCGCTGACTCCGACCCTCCCCCTTTTTTCTCGTCTGTTTTTCCCCCCCTCTGCCTTCCCGGCTCTTTGCAGGTGGGTGAGGTGGTGAGGAGGCGGGGCTGGGGCGGGGGTGAGGGAGGAGCCAGGAGGGAGGGGGGAGGAGCTCAGAACTCTGGGTCCACGGGAAGAGGGAAGGGAGGCTTTAGGTTGCTGAAGCTAAGAGAGTCAGGTGCTGAAAGTGGGTGTGTCTAAACGCTTGGATCCCCCCCCCCCCCGGCATTCTCAAAGAATTGAAAAAGTGCAGTTTGGTGTTCTAGGACCTGGGAGAGAGAGCACCATGCTTGAGTCCCCAGAGCACAGAGTGCTGGGTGTCAGAGGAAAAAAAAAAAAAAAAAAAACAACGGAGACCTAAAAGCAGGGTTGGGACTTCCGAGGATTCAGGGACAAGTTTGAGGAAACGTGAGAAAGTGCTGGAAACTCTGGACCACTAACTGAGAAGCACGTGCTGGGCGCAAACTGCAATGGATGCTCGCAGGGCTAAAAGGATGGAGGAAATTGAAAATCAAGGCACAGGCTCCTGCCTAGATCCCTGGGAAGGAAAGAACTAGGGACCTAAACTTACAGTTCTACCAAGCCGTGGAAGCTGAGGGCTGCAGGTCCAGGCGAGGAAGTGATGGAGAGGCGCACAACCCTAGGATCCTGGGGGAAATAGGGGTCAGGAGTGGAGGGCGTGGATGTTGGCTGAGAACAAAATGATAGAATTGGAGGAGAGGAATTGGGGGGGTCTAGGTGAGAGCCCCAGCAGAGGGTCTCAGCAGGGACGGCATACTGGGAGCTGTTGGTCCCACACATGGGGCGCCGAGGCCCTGAAGAGACCCCTTCTCCCTTGCACAGGTAGGCCTGATCCGGGATAAGGTCTCTCTTGCTGGGGGGCGCCAGAGCTAACCGTCCCCCAGGCTGCCTGGTGCTGCAGGGCCCTCTCCTCTGTCTGCCTGCTTCTGAATCTTGGGCTCAGCACCTGCACTGTTTCCTCACCGTCTCTGGCTGTCATTTCTTTGCCTGGAAGGGTGAGGACTCTCTGGTGCTGTTAGGGGCTTGCAAAGAGCTCAGCGCCGAGACTCGGCGTGAGCTCAAACACATCCAGCTGCATGCAGGACAGCTCAGAGTGACCCTGACAAGGCCAGCTCAGTCACACCCTCCTCTTGTGCACTGGTCATTGCTACACTGTGCCTCAGTTCCTTCCTAGAGAAAGCAAAATCGTGAGACCGTTGGTCCCAGCAGTGGGGAGGCAGAGGCAGGTGGATCTCTGTGAGTTCAAGGCCAGCCTGGCCTACGGAGTGAGTTCCAGGACAGCCAGAACTAAACAGTGAAACCCTGTCTTGGAAAAAAAAGTGAAATAATGGCCATATTCTGGTGCTGTAAGGTCTGTGGTCCCAGCTACTCTGAAGCATGAAGCAGGAGAATCAAAGTCAAGGCCTACTTGGACTACAAAGTGAGCTTCAAAGGCCAGCCTGGGCAAAGCAACAAGGCCTTGCCTCAAAATAAATAAAAATAAGGGAGGCTGGAGAGATGGCTCAGTCGTTAAGAGCACTGGCTGCTCTTCCAGAGGACCAGGGTTCAATTCCCAGCACCCACAACCATCTGTAACTCCAGTCTCCGGGGATCCAGCGCTCTCTCTTCTGGTCTCTGCAGGCACCAGGCAGACAAGTTGTGCACAGACTTACCTGCAGACAAAACATCTATAGACATAAAATAGCACAGAGGGCTGTAGCTCAGTAGCAGGCATTTGCCTAGAATCCACCGGTAAAGGCTGGGGGCACAGCTCAGTGAATCCAGCACTGAGGGGTTGGAAGCATTTTTTTTTTGAGACAGGGTTTCTCTGTATTGTTTTGGAGTCTGTCCTGGAGCTTGCTGTGTAGACCAGGCTGGTCTCGAAATCACATAGATCCGCCTGCCTCTGCCTCGAGAGTGCTGTGATTAAAGGCGTGCGCCACCAACGCCCAGAGGTTGGACGCATATTAAGGGTGGAATGCTTGCCTAGAATCCAACCAGGGAAGGTCTGTGGCCATGGCTTGGCTGTAGAACCCTTTCCTGGTATCTACCATGAAGGGCTGGGGCATGGCTCAGACAGAAAACACTGGCCTAGGGCTGGAGAGATGGCTCAGCGGCTAAGAGCACCGACTGTTCTTCCTGAGGTCCTGAGTTCAATTCCCAGCAACCACATGGTGGCTCACAACCACCTTGAATGAGATCTTGTGCCCTCTGCTGGCCTAGAGGCAGAAGGCTGTATACACAATATGTAAATTAAAAAATATTAAAAAAAAAAAAACACTTGCCTAGAATCTACCACTGAGGACCTGGGATGTGGGTCAGTGGACAGTGCCGGCCTAGCATGCACAAGGCCCTGGGTTCTATCCCCAGCACCCCATGATGAATTAAATCGTTATCGAATACATTGTGTTTACTGCATGGTTGCCAGGCGAGGAGATGAGCTGAGTACGTTCAAGCTGTGACTCCAGTGTCAAGTCTGTATTAACATATTAACCTGGGCCTCTGCTCCGACCTCTGCTTGCCTCTAACCCCACCTCACCCCACCCCTGCGCCTTAGAGTCCAGAGCAGCAAGGCTGGCCACGTCCTTATCGCCTCCCCGTCTTGTCCCCCCTAGTCATCAAGAGCCAGACCCGGAAGCCGGGTCCCAGCTAGAAGAGAGAGCCAGAAAGTGGGTTCTGTGTAATTATGACTTCCAAGCCCGAAACAGCAGCGAGCTGTCCGTCAAGCACCGAGATGTGTTGGAGGTTAGCGGCGTGGGGGAGAGGGTGGGGCTCTGAGACCCTGAAATTGGCCAGTTCAGCCCTAGGTATAGAACCAGGGCGTGGATTCTTTCCTTATACCCCACCTAGGTCCTGGATGACAGGCGCAAATGGTGGAAGGTTCGGGACCATCAGGGCCAGGAGGGCTATGTACCTTATAACATCCTGACACCCCACCCGGGACCTCAGGTGCACCGCAGCCAAAGACCTGCAGGAAACCTAGTAAGTCAGCATATTCTTGCTTCTTTCGGGAGACGCGGGGACAAGATCCTAGGTCCTGGGGCTGAGGGCAGAATAAACCAGGAGCGAAGGGTGCTGTTGGGAAAGGGGAGTGGTCAGATGTTTATTGGGAAAGGAGCTGGACGCCTCGGCCCTCTCTCTCTTCACTCCCTTCCAGGAGACTAGTACTCCTCCTCCTGCCCCACCCGCACCAGCTCCAGCCCCCGCTCAGGTGCGACCCCACTGGGACAGTTGCGACAGTCTCAACAATTTGGACCCCAGCGAGAAGGGTGAGTGGTGAAGCGATCCCTGTCTTTACTTGTCAGGCTCCACCCTGGGCACCCAAGAGGCTCCCAGCCCCCTGGCCCCAGAGCCCTGAGTGCGTGTCCCCCTCCCCCCCTCCCTTCACGGTTTCCCTCCTGCAGAGAAATTCTCCCAGATGCTCAGTGTCAATGAGGAGCTGCAGGCGCGCCTGGCGCAGGGCCGTTCGGGTCCCAGCCGGGTAGCCCCGGGACCCCGCGCCCCGGAGCCTCAGCTCAGCCCGCGCTCTGAGGCCTCGGTGGTCCGTGCCTGGCTGCAGACCAAGGGCTTTAGCTCGGGGTGAGTGGGGCTCCCCGGGGCTAGACTGAAGAGACCTGTACCTGAACCGAAAGTCGGGGTTCCGATTGGTCCAGGGGTGGGGGCGTGGAAACTATGGGGCAGGCCCCAATCGCAACGCCCAATGCCCAGTGACAGACTCCAAAAGGGGACCGCAGGGAAGGAAGTCCCATCCCCTTTCTGGAGCCCCAAATCTCCAGAGCCTGAACACCCCCCACCCCCCCACTTCCTTGTCTGAGAACTCTGATTGGACAAGCATAGGTAGGTGTGACATGATTGATGGGGGCCAAGCTGTGACGGCCCCTGCTGCTTTGCTCAGGACTGTGGACGCCCTCGGAGTGCTGACCGGTGCACAGCTCTTCTCGCTGCAAAAGGAAGAGTTGCGGGCGGTGTGCCCCGAGGAAGGGGCGCGAGTGTACAGCCAAGTCACCGTGCAGCGCGCGCTGCTGGAGGTGAGCGAGCGAGTCCTTCGGGCCCGACGAGGGGGTGGGGCGGTCGCCCAGGAGTCACAGACTGAGATCTTGATTTCCGCCCCGCTGCTCTCCAGGACAGAGAAAAAGTGTCAGAGCTGGAGGCCGTGATGGAGAAGCAAAAGAAAAAAGTGGAAGGCGAGACCAAGACGGAAGTTATTTGATCCTTCCTGACCCGGTCGCAAAACGGGAAGAGATGGCGGGGGTTCCCAGCGCCCCCTAGGACAACAGTCGCCAGACTCCTCCCCATCACCAGTGACGGGAGATGTCCCGAAGGATCGCCCAGCCTGGTCTCCCCGCTTCCCCGGCAGGCAGGCTGCACTGACAGTGCTGACCGGAACCTTCCAGAGGGACCTCCGACTGACAGGCATGGGGAAGGGGACGGAGCACAGAGACACTACCAGAGAGACATGCCCAAGAGGCGCACTGTGCGTTGTGATGTGCTATACATAAAGAGCCTCCTTTTCAGACCATGTCACGCGCGGTCCCTTCTCTTGCCAGCTACCAAGGAGCCAGAAATCTGAGAGATACCCCCACGCTTTCTCTCCCTAAGCCTGGAGACTCCAGGCTGCCTCCTAATCACGAGTCGATCCTCGCACTAGCCCCTCTACAACCATCCTCTGTTCAAAACCCTTCCCTGGCTCCTCGCTGATCTCGGCCCAGTCTCCTGGTATTTAAGACCTGGGTTTTTATTTCAAAGGCTTTATGTCTCCGCCCACCCTTGGGTCTTCCTGGCCCCTCAAGAACTTTCTCCCTGCCAAGGCCTGCAACTTGTCCAGGTTATAAGGTGGATGACAAGAGCCAGCTTTCCCATCCACGCTAGATAGCTCCAAGGCCTTTCTTTTCCCCGCATCCTTGGAACACTTGCAAGAAGTCCTACCCTTACGTCGGCTCCTACAGCCGGCGCGGTTCAGTCCTTACCTGGGCCACCAGGTGGCGCACCTCGAATCCGACCCAACGAGAGCCAGCCTTGGGCTGACTTCTCTAAGCCCCTTTGCTTCTGGGACATGAGCCGCTGCAGAATTCCAATAAGCCTCTAGTGTCTATTCCATTGGCCTCGCCTGGCACATGAGATATAACCTAACTCCATAACAGCTGATGGCCTGTGACCCCTACGGGCTAAGGTCACCCTCTCTGTTTGGGACTCCAATGTCGTTGGCTCTGCCAGGGATGTCTTGGCCCTATGGAATCTGATCACTGTCTGGGGCGTCATTTCTTATGTCAGGGTGAGTGGGTGGGTGGGTTGGAGGCAGTCTGGATACAGCCTCAAACTCTCCATCCTCCCGTTTAGTTTCCTGGATGTTGGGAATATTGGCAGGCACCCTGCTGCCACCCTCTTTTCTAATAGAGAAACCAAAAATACAAGCAGTTGCCCGAGCTGTTTTGGTTCCGACAGTGAGCTCCCAGGCTGCCGACTGAAATGCCAGCAGGCACCATCTGGCTTGCTGGGACATCGGGTGCCTGTGGCTGGCTCTCAGTGGTCTGGAACCTGACCTTTTCATCCTAACTTTACCCTTTGCTGATGATTTTGTCCATCACTCCTTCGCCTGCATCCAGACAAGAACCTGTCAGAGGTCAAGCCGGCTGGTACCCTGGTGGTCAGGCCTCCCCCTCAGAGTTCAAGTTCTTCACAGATCATACATAAAGTCACCATCTCAAGGCTGTGCTCTGCTACCTCCTTTCAACACCACAGCAGGCCAGGCTACTCTGCCCCAATGCTGCACACGTGGGTGTCATCATGCAAAATGTGCTTCCTTCAGACAGGGCTCACTGTCACCTTCTGTCTGTGCAGTTTACCATGGGGCCTACTGTTGACTATCATAAACACGGCACACATATTTATACACACCAGATACACACACACCACACACCATACAATGCCCGACATACCATGCACACGCCTGCGCGTACACACACACACACACACACTCTCCGTCTGTCTGTCTGTCTGTCTCTCTCCACAGCCCTACAGCTGAAATCCGCACAGTGACAACCTTCCTCTTACAGTGAGTGCACTGGCTGCCGGACCAAGCTGTTGACTCTGTGACACCAGCAGGCAGAACAGCCCAAGCAGTAGTAGCAGCCCATTCCTGACTGTAAGGATGGCGGTTCCGTCATCTCAAGACTGGTGACTCTGCCCAGTCGCTGTAGCCACGAAGGACTGCTTACCATCACTTACTGCTTTCCCAGAAAAGCCAAACTTGCAGTTTTCCATGTGGACCATGCCACGTTTTCAATGCAGGCCACCGGCTCCACTCATTTCCGGAGAACCGAGAGTAAATGTGAGCGGCCACTCAGTCACTGGCTTCCCTCTGCCCCTGACCTCATCTGGGATCCTATGCCCCGGCTGCTCCCTCTGCCACCGCGCCCTCCCCACACCTGTGAGCACGCTCCCGGCCACCCACTGGACCTCACCCAGAGCAGACGGATGAGGGCTTAAGTCACATACACGGGCTGAGTATACAAGCGGGAAGCAGTGGCCCACGCCCAGCGGGAGACAAGTCACTGGGTGGCAATGTCACGACTTTATTTGTGGTGCCTGTGCTTTGTCTCAAAAATACCTTCTCCCCCTCCCCATCAACGGGTGGGGAGGAGGCAGCAAAAATAGAAGACGTCCCTCCCTATTGCACACGGACCCTATATACAGGCCCACCTGGCAGAGGCCAGTGGGCTCTTGGCACATTCCTGGATCCCTGCTGGGGAGGGGAAGGGGCACACTGGGTAGCATCACACGTGAGGTGGGACCCCGGGCAGCCACTCTGCTCCTGGATACTGATCCTGGGTTTCTTGGTCCTTGCGTCCTTCCTGGTCCCATCTCGGGTGCCTGTCCACTCTCAGCAACATCTCCCCACCTGGCTCAGACTCCCACCTCCGTCCTGCTCTCAGAGGGCCCCCTTGCTTCCTGGGGACTCTGTGCTTTCCTCCGGGTTCTGAGGTCCCCGAGAGGAGGTTATGGCTTCTCAGCAACTTCCCCCGGAGTCCTGTCACTCATGTTCACGCGGGGGAAGGGGTGCATGTGTCAAAAGCAGCTGTATAAATATGGTGCGGGAACTCCTCCAGAGTCACTTGGATAGTTTGCTAATGACGCGGATCAGGGCTGCGTTCTCATCCTTGAGCCGCTGGTTGTCAGCCCGGAGGTCGGACAGGGCCTATGGTACAGGGTGGAGTCAGCTGGGCGGTGCTAGGTAGGCTGGGCTCTCCCTGGCCACTGCCCATCAAAGCTCCGGTTACCTTCAGCTCCTCCTCCAGCTCGGCAGCCTTGCGCTCCAGGGCCCTGCGCTCCTGCAAGGAAGGAGAAGGCTCAGAAGCAGGCTAAGGAAAAGGAGGGGGCAGGGCAAGGCCACGACACCATCCCAGCAGCCCAAACTCACGAATCTCTCCAGCTCCAGCAGGGCGGGCCTCTCGGCAAAGCGTTCCTGCCGCTGGTAAGGACAGAGAAGACTGGGCGTCGGGAGCTCCGTCTTACCCCTAGGCCAACCGAGCCCTGTCCCCCCGGGGGTTGGGGGACCATCCAACCTCCCAAGCGTGGCCAGGACCCCTGCCACTGGAACTCTGACTCTCACTGTCCCCAAAACAGCTAGTTCTTAGGTCTCCGCCCCCGCACCTGCGTGGCCCTCTCCAGCTCCACCTTGAGCTGCGCCAGCCGCAGGGTGGTCTCTGTCAGGGCCTCACGAAGGCGCTCGTTCTCCCTCCGAAGCTCCACGTACAGCTGGGGACACAGAGGAAGCAGGCAGGCTCAGAAGGGTCAGGGAAGGGGCCATCAACAGGAGCCAGACAGGGTAGGGTGGGGCATGAGGTAGGATGCTGCACCTTCCGGAAGCTTCCATCAGGTTCTTCCTGTTCCTGCTTGGATTCTGGATTGAGGTCTCTCTGCAAACGCTGCCTGCGGGCAGTGGAGCCGCCATCCACGGTGCTGGACAGAAGCTATAGGCCTTAGGAACCCCAGGCCCTGCCCGAGGGAGGTGCCCCAGCCCCCAAGCATGACCCAGCCTACCTGCACTCCAGGCTCCGTTCTGCCGGCCCGGCCTCCTCCCCCTGCAGAAGAGCCCTGAGAGTTCAGTCTCCATCCGATGTCCTCCCTCCAACCTGCCCAGCCCCCACACAGCATCCTCACCTCCGCCGGCCCCCTTCGCTCATGGCCGACCTTTCGATGCTCCCTGGCCGCCTGTGGTCCCTGGCCCTGCCCGTCGGGCGCCTCTGCTGGGGAATCAGTGGGAATCAGCTCAGACACCACTACAGGGACCCCTGTCTACTGGGCAGGGAACCTGACTTAGACCCCTGTTAACAAACAGACTTTATGGGAGAGACAGGATGGCTCCCTGGGCAATGACTTCCCAGAAAGCCGACCTCACCTCTCTGGGCAGGGCCCTCAGTGTTCTCCACGCCGGGGACCCGAGGTCTCCGAGAAGGGTCCTGCCAGGGAGGAGCAGAGTCAGAAACAGGGCCATGGGTTCCACCCGCCCCGGCTCACCTGAGCCTGCTCACCAGGCTGGGCAGGACAGGCTGCTCTGGCTCGGGGGCCTTCCCGGCCACCTTCTCTGCCTCCTTCAAGTCTGTCAAAGTCACGCCCTAGCAGAGAGAACTCGGTCAAGGAGAAGGGCCGAGACTTCGGCAGGACTCAAGTTCAGAACCCCAGCCCTGCTCCCTCAGGCCCAGGAGCACAGCCCGGGCGCCATCCCACACCTGTGTGGACCTCCGAGACTGGCGCATAAGGCGGGAGCGAGCCTTCCGCTGGGACTCCGACTCTTCATCCCGCACAGGCATCTGGTAAGACCTGAGCGGAGAACCCTGAACTCAAGAGAATGCCCCCTTGGGTGCTGTCGCACTGGGAGGGACACCTCAGAGGAGTGCACATTCTGGCAGAGAACATCCCAACCAAACAAACAGGACCCCCCAGGAGCCTACCCAGAGCCCCGGAGACCCCCGAACTGCCTCCCCCTAGCCTCGTTACCTCCGCCGATCCCTGGAGTCAGGCAGGGGCGCGGCAGAGGCTGCGGGGGCAGTTGGCTTCATTGGGGATCCAGGCTCCCTCCTGGAGGATGGAGCGGAGTGGCCCAAAGGAGGAGGCGTGGCAGACTCACACCTGTATGGATTCAGTCATCAGCGAATATTCCTCAAGCTGGCATTCTGCGCCAGGCATGGGAGAGACCACAGAGAATGAGCACGGCTGCTGATGAATCGTTTCTGGGCAAAACACTTAAAGAAAACAGCAGCCAAAGAGACAAGTATGGGGCACGGGGAGAGAGGCGCTTGCAGGAAATAAAGAGAGTAAGCACACATCTGAGGCACCCTAAGGGATTTCCTGGGTCTCAAATGCCAGGATAGCACCAGACCTGCCCCCCCCCGCCCTGCCCCAGCCCCTGGTACTTACAGGGTAGAGGGCTCTGGCACTTTCTGGGCAGGGGTCGGGGTTATTCTGGCAAGACGGGGCTCCCTGGCCTGTGGAGACAGGAGAGACACAAAGGAGGCACTG